GTGCTCAGCACAGGTCCTGTATCCCCCTGCAGGTGCACCTCCACCACGTGGGGAAAGCATCCCACAGTTCCAGTGAGGGAGCAGGACTGAGCATGCATCCACCACCCTGTGCCAAGCAACAGAACTGGGTGGGGATAAACCCATCCTTCTTCACCAAAGCCCAGTGCTCCCTCCTGGCTCCACACTCTCTGGGGGGCAGAATGTTATGAAAATAACAGAGCAGACCAAAAGTCCACCTTGCTCTGTGTACTTGCAAGCAGTCAGAAGCACAAGCAATTCCCAGCTCAGCAGCTGCCCAAGCCATAGGTGGATCTCAGTGTATTTATTAGTTCTGAGGGAACCTCTTGTCCTTCTTGATATCATCCCATTTCTCCTGAAACTAATGCAAGGTTTTGCTGTTCATGACACCTTGTCCTGAGGACTTTTGTGATTTGATAACACATCTGCAAGAGGCAATGCCTCTCCTCCTGTTTGGCACCTCCTGAGAGCTTAATTTGATGTGACCTTGTACTTGTATGAAAATAAATAATGCACAGTTAACCTCTATCGCTTCTCTCCTGGCCTCCTGTAGACACATCTTATCCATCTTCTGTTGTTTCCTTTCCAGCCTGAAGAACCCTGCCTTATTTAGCCCTTTTTTTTTTTTGCAGAGAGGCCACCAGACCTCTGACCAACTCTGCTGCAACTTCCAGGCATTTGACTCCACAATGATCTCAACACCCACACATCTCTCCTGAGCTCCCCGTGGGCAGCTCTAGAGACAGAGACACAGAGCAACCCCTGTCCCCTTCCCCTCCATCACTGTCCCACGAGTCCTCAAGTTGCTCAGTGGTGCCTGGAGTTATGTGAGGGCAGAAAATAGACACAAAGAGAGTTGGACTCACACATTCACCTTCACAGCTCCTGTAGCACTGGAGGCCAGCAGCAGCACATGGACAGGACCACCTCCCCAGGGAGTGCCACACAGACATTTTGGCCATGTTACAGACTTGGGAGTCCTCTCCCACTCCTTTAGAGCAGCACCAATGCTGAATGAAGGCCAAGTCCCTGCAGCCCCTGATCATCACAAAAGGGCATTCTCAGCAGTCCCCTCCCCAAGCCCATCTCAGAAGCCTCCTGACCAAACTTTTTCCAGCCATCCTTGCCCTCAGCAGCCCAGGCCCAGACCCAAACAAGGCTTGTGCACTGTACAAGCCCTGTAACATGCTCTCTCTGCAACCTTTCCCAAACTTTGCCACCTGCTCTGCTGGCACGGCCAGAGCATCTGGCCACCAGGCAAAGTTTCAACTCTGCTTGCCAGGCACCTTACAGGATATGCTTGCACTGAGATGCAGCTTGAAAATAACAGATGTTACTCCTCTGTTCTGCATTTTGCAGTGTCAGGAACAAGGCTTCTTTCCCAACAACCCTCTGAGCTCCTTGCCAAGGTGGTCTCACCCCAAACAGCGCTCCCCAGCACAAAATCCTGCCCACAGACAGCCCCTGCCACGTGCTGTCCCTGCTGCCAGGCAGACAACACGGCAAAAGGAATGCACTGCAGGAGCAGAGTTTCCACACACAACTTCAAGACTTAGCAGGAGCACAGGTTTCATCATGGACTGCAATGCCACTTGACTACTGAGCCCAGACAAGCCTCCAAACTGCACATAACCTCCCAGCCAGGGAAAACTTCCAGGAGCTACACAAACCAGACAGGACCCGGCAGCTGCAGCCAGAAGCACCCATGTCTTTGCACTGCTCCCTCTTCATCCCCATTTCCTCTCAGTCAGACTCGCTCCAGGGTCTGAATGATGTGGGTTCAAACTGGCAGCTCTGGCAATTGCAGGACCATTTATTCATTCCCCTCACACCCACAGCAGAATCCTGCTGAGGCCAGCAGCACACAGTGCTGGTCACAGCCTGCTCCCTGCCCCCAGCTCTGGGGAGTATCACGGTAGGAGACCACCAGAGCATTCAGCCCCCCATCCCGCACCACCCAGCTCAGCTCAGCTCAGGCCTCAGACCCAGCTCTCCCTGAGTGCCCTGGTACCAGGATCCAACCTGAATCCAACCTGCCTCCTGCTGCTGAGGTGCCCTGTGCTTCCTGTGACCACCTCCCCTCCACAACACCCTTGGCTGCCTTTCAAAGCACTGTCAGTGGCAGCCAATAACCACAGACCACCAGCAGAGCAATCCCTGTCTGGGATCCACAGGGAGCCGGCAGTTCCAAGGACAGAGCCAAGGACCCTGCCCCATCCCTCTGCACTTGGTGCACAGCCCCAGGATGGCAGATACACAGCCTCTCTGTGCTCTGAGATCCCACAGGCTCCTCTGCAGCTCCACAACTTGTTGCACGGACACACGCTCCATGTCCCCATCCCTGCCACTGCCCACCATCCTTCCACCCTTCTACTGTTACTGGATCCCTCCAGCTGCCACCAGTGCAGCAGGGACACCTCCACTCTGCTCTGTCTGAGGCCACGGTAGCTCCTGGACAGCCAAGAGAGCTTCCTTTCTCCCCTGCCTGCTGCAAAGAAATAGCTTCTAGAAGGAAGGATACAGGAAGATGGCAGCAAATTGCCTGGGAGGCAGCAGACTCGCTGTGGCTGGGGGGGTTTAGGAGCTGGCTGAGCTGATGCTGTTCGGGAATTGTTTAGATGGAGCTTAGAGACTTGATGACCTCAAGGTCCCTTTCCTATCAGCTGTCCTACAACACCTCCTCCCTTGACACAAAGGCCAACGTGGACCTGCCAGAGGATTTTGGCAATCACCACCTCCTTGCTTTTGCACGCGGACATGATCCTGATCAAAAGACACCTGGAACAAATCCCTGTCTGTGCTGGATGTGAGCACCCAGAGCAGCCCCCACAGAGAGCCAGGACAGACACAGCCACCACATCTGGAGCCTCAGCACAGTGCCCTGCCAATTCTCACGCTGCCTCCTGAGGCTTTGGCAGGCCCCTGTCCCTGGGCAGCTGCTCAGTAGCTCCACTCATGACTCCCAGGTTCTGGCTGCCCTCACCACCCTGCTCTCGAGCACCTTCCCTCCAGCCCCTTGGGACAAAAGCCTCTACACGGGCTCTGGAAAAGAAACAGCCCCAGATGAAAAGGGCAGGGCAACCCCCTTGGCACGGGCTCAATCCTCCTCTCTGACAAGGCTGCCCTAGATGCTCACTGCTGTTGAGTGTGGGCAGTTGGAGGCTGTGCAAGGCAGCACCGAGCAGACCCTGCCAAGACAAGCTCTGCAGCTCCCATTCCCTCAGCACAGAGCTGTGCAGGGCCCTCACACTCCCGTCCAAGGGCTGCCCTGCACCTTGGCAGCTTCTGCTGGTGCTCTGGAGGTTGAGAGCTGCGTGTTTGCAGGTGTCCAACCAAACTCCACATCCCGACTGCACACGTAACCATGGCAACTGCACATGCGAGTGGCAAAGCCTCGAGCCCGGCTAACTGCAAATGCAAATGAAGCAAACACATGCACAGTGCTAAAAGTGTGACCTCTAAATGTCAGCCTTTAACCATTTTGCAGACACCAGCTCTGGTGGCGGCCACCTGCAGCCTGCAGAGCAGGCAGAGCTCTGGTTCCAGTGGGGACCTCTGGGTGCCCAGCCCTGCAGCAGGTGCAGCCATGGGTGCTGGGGTGCACGCCTGGCACAGGCATTTCCCAGAGCTGAGAGTGACTCCTGCCTTGTCAACCAGCAGCTCCCTCTCTGAGGACACATCCACTCCTTACCCAGCTCGTAGATGCTCCCAATTCCACAGAGGACCCTGGTTTGCTGAGGAAGGAAGGTCCCAGCAGGCTGACACAAACCATGGCCAGCACAGGGGCTTGTGGGGAGCTGGCTCTGCCATCACCTGGGGCTGAGCCAGCAGCAGCATCAGATGAGGCACTCTCAAAGGATGGAAGGAAAATCCCAGCCTTTCAGGGATGTCATGTCAGAGCCACCTCCCTAAGGGAGGTCTGTGGCCTTGGGAAAGGCTGCTGGTAGAGGCATAAGGAGGTGTCACTATTTGGGAGAGTGTGGTCCAGAAACTGACTGGCTGGACAAAGGTCTCAGGTCCCTTAGCATTTCTCTCCCTTGCTGCTGATGCAGACAGACCCCAGAAGCGACCAGCACCCACCACCCTGTCCTGCTCCGTGGCTTTGAGCATGAGGGAGTCAAGCTCAGGTGAGCAGTGCCAACTCCAGCCACAGCCCCTGCACTCAGCATCCCGCTCAGGGACGGATGGCTGGATGGATGAATGGACATCTGGCCTGCTGCCCCGCTCAGGGATGAGTATGGCCAGCTGTTTGACAGCAAGCCTGCCTCCAATGAGGTCCCTGGACCAAGAGGGAAACAGGGAATGTCCTTCCACTCCAGGAGCCCAATGGCTAATGTCATTCCTAATGCTATGCCAAATAAACTGAGCCAAGGGGATCTCCTGCCTGCCCTTGACCCAGGGATGCTCACACCAGCAGCCTCATGCCTGTCAGCACGAGGAGCATCCTTGCACCCCAAATAACCCACCCCCAGTACCCACACCGCACCCCAGAGCCCCGGGGAGGATCCCAATTCCCTGGAGTGAGGCGCTCCAGCCCGGCGAGCCGCGCTGCCCGCTCCGTGCCGGGTGTGCCGGGCCGGGCCGAGCGGTGCCCGGCGGATGCGGGGCGGGGGCCGGGATGCGGGCCGCGCAGCTGAGGCGGGCGCACAATCCCCCTTTCAGCACGTCGCCATGGCAACCCGCCGGCTCGCCGCGGCCGCTCATCCGGCCCCGTTAACCCTCGCCGTTACCCGCCGCCGCCGCGCTCGGCCCCACCCGTTAACCCCTGCCCCGCCGCACCCCGCTCCGACGCCCGGCTCCGGGACCGCGACCCGAACCGGGACCACCCCGCGCCCCGAGAGCCCCACGGCCGGAGCGGCGGCCACCCCCAGCCCCGCGCCGCGGGGCCGGTCCGGTGCCGTCCGGCCGCCCTCCCCATCGCGAGCGGCCGCGGGCCGTGCCGTGCCGGTCCGTGCGGGGCGGGGCGGGGCGGGCGCACTCACCGTCGGGGGCGGCGGCGCGGCTGGGCCATGCCGGTGGCAGCGGCGGCTGCCCCGCGCTCCGCTCAGTCCGGCCCGACCCCGCACCGGGAGCGCGCGGCGCGTGCACGGCGGAGGCGGGCTGGGGAGGGGCCGCTCCGCTGCACCCCTTCATTGCCGCCGCCCTGCCCGCCACCGCCGCCCGCCACCGGCACCGGCACCGCGACCGCCCCGATCGGACATCCCGCGGCCCCGCCAGCCGGGCCCGGTACCGCACGGCCCGGCACCCGCACCGCCCCGGTCCCCGCGCCGAGGGGATGCCGCGCCCGCCGAGCGCCGCGCTCCGGGACCGCGCCCTCCGGGTACCGGCAGCAGCCGCACCTGCACCCCCGTGTCCCCCAGGCCCCCCAGACCTGCCCTGCTCACGGCACCGGCACCGCTCTGCCATCGGCCCTGGGCGGAGCGGGTCACCCCCGCATTCCCGACCGGGACACCTGCACAGCCCGGGGCACCCCGCACCGCCCCAGTGAACGACCCCATCTGTGGGGGCATCCCGGCACGGCCCCGGGCACCCTGCACTGTCCTGCGCACACAGAACCCTGCCCCACTGCAGCCTGTGCGTGCCCCAGCCACGCTGCAAGGGTCCCTTCGCACCCCGGGTGTGCTGCCCCGGCACACCTCACGGCAGCTGGAGCACCCTTCAGCCCCGGCACATTCCCCACAGCCGGGGGAGCGGTCCCCGCCTCTCGCACTGCCCCGCAGTGCCCAGCGGGTCTGGGGAGCATTCAGCAGGTGCTCAGTGCGGGGTGCCCCATCCCAGCCTCAGCCTTGGGGCCCGGCCCAGCCCTGCCACGCACCGGGCTTCAGTCTCAGCAGCCACCCAAAGGCTCCCAGCAGCACCGCGCAGCGAGACCCAGCACCTCTGTCATTCCCCCTCCCAGCATGGGGGTATTTTCTCCTCCCACTCATGGCCTCCTGGCAGGAGCCGCCTCTCCTACAGCCTGCCGCTGCCCATAGCAATGTTTCAGTCTTGCCTGATGGGATTACAGAAATCATTTGAAGCAGGGCATGGATTTGGGTCTTGATGGAAGTATCTGATTGCTGCCTCCCTCTGCCATTGCCAAGGTAGCATCAGCTGCGATGCCTCCATAGAGCAGGCACCGTTTCCTGTTTAAGATGTTTGCATGGCAGAATCTGAAGGGCAGCAATTAATTTCATCTCTCCCACACACCTCTGCCACCTGCACTGAGTCTGTGAATGTGCAGTGGCAGAGAGATCCCTGCACCCCAGTGCAGGTTGGGCTTCACCTGCCCCAGTTCCTTCCAGCTGCTGCTGCACGGCAGGGCAGAGCTTTCCTGCTTCTCCTGCCCTGCTACCTCTCTCAGGGACTGCTTATGGGTGGTCAGCAGCTTGACTGATTTTGTTGCTGGCCTGTTACACACAGGATGTATATAGGGCATACCGATATAGTTCACCCTATTATATATATATATATATATATATATGTAAAATGCATAGAGGGTGAGCTGCAAGCTGCCGCCCACAATGCCATTGAGCAGGCAACATGGTCCAGCACTGCCTGGGATGGCTGCACAACCCTGCCCTGTGCTTACCAGGGCTCATTGGCTCTGAGCAGCATCTTGAAGGGGGCCCCAGACCGATGCTGAGCTGCCCTGCGGCAGGCAGGGTATCAGGCATAGCTGCCTGGGTCCCACTGCCCAACAAAACCAGTCCAGGATGGGATCTTGGAGCACAGCTGCAGTGGTGCCTGCAGGAGAGCTGGGTACTCACACAGCTGCTCCACGCCCAGCTTCAGTTGCTTGACTGAGCAGTGATCGATTTTTTTGCACAACACCAGTTCTGACAGTGCCTGACAAGCCACCTTTGCCCAGGCTATGGTCCATGGGGACCCTGCATGCCAGGCTGCTGGGTGGGTGTGTAGGGCAGAGCCTCTTCAGCCCATCCATCCCCCACAATGCATCAAGATTTGTTTCGATCTCGGGCTTCTCCTCAGCTGCTGGGCACAGCCCGTGTGGCATCGCCTTGAGGGAGCCCAGCATCAAACAGGCACACCCCGCACCGCCCCCTCCCTGCGCTGGTGGCCGCAGCAGGGCAGCTGTGTGCACTGCTCAATGGGCAGTGTGTATGAAAATGCCCCCGGTTGCCTCTGGCTCTGTCACAAGCAGCGTTTAGCCACGACTCGGAGAAGGAGCAGAAGGGCTGGAAGCTGTCAGCCCTGCTTAAAACGGCCGCGGCTCAGTGCTAATGTGCAGCACAGCAGCTGCAAGGCACGCAGCCAGGCCAGGCACAGCACAGCTCCCCACACAGCCCTGTGTGCTGTGGCCAGCTCCTGCACCGCTCCCCACGTCCCCCTGGAACCTCCTGCACCCACTGGGAACCTCTGGGCAGCCACCGAGGGTTGTGTGGGATCTTGGACACTGTGGCAGCCCGGCGTCTGTCACCACAGCAGAGCTCTGGAGTGCTGCTCATCCCACACAGGCCTGGGCTGCCAAGCAGCTGACACAGCTGGGGGAAGCCTTTTGCCAGAGGAACAGCAGGGCCAGCCCTGTTGCTGGGCCGTGCAATAAAGGGTCTCGAGCAGCAGACCCTGGAAGGGACAAGTCATCCCCTTTCCCCCCGGAGGGCAGGGTGGCTCCTGGGGTGCCAGATTCCCCCCATCAGCGCCCACAGCAGCAGCAGCTCTGATGGGGGGATCTGACACCCCAGCTCAGCACCCGGCTCGGTGTTGTGGCACTGCAGCACTGCCGTGTCACCACAGCTGCCGTGCAAGGCCACCCACCCCGCACCCCTGTCGGGCCCCCGGGCCGTGCAGCTCCCGGCCCGCTCCGGCTGCTGCAGAGCCGCCCCCTCCCACCTCCGGCGCGGCAGCGATGCAGAAGGAGCATCCAAGATGCCGCTTGGCGCAGGCTCAGCTGCCGCCCAGGCCGGCAGAGGAGGGGGTGTCGGCCATGACCGTGCACACCAGGAACTGGGGCACGTTGTGGGCAGGGACAGCGCCCAGTGTCCCCGGGCAGCGGCCCCTCCGCGCCCCGGCAGCATGAGGGAAACAGCGCTCCTGCCGCAGCCACGGCTCCCTCCGGGCAGGGGTGGCCTGACACAGCTTCCAGCTCGGGGCCACCCAGCACGGGCTGCCGGCAAGCAGAGTCCCCGGCCAGGGCAGCCTGGGGGCAGGGGGAAGACGAAGGCGGCTCAGGCTGATCCACATGGAGGGGACAAGCAGGGATGCATAGAGGCAGCAAGCCCCTGTCCTCATGAACAGTTCCCTCCATCAGGCCTGGCCAGCAACACCTTCCAATGGTCCTGCAGCCACATGGCAAGAACCTGGCATAGGTGCAGGTGTTTGGGGACAAGCAGGGCAGAGAGGGTGTAGTGCTAAGCAAGCCCCAGACAGCAGAGAGCAGCTTCACCTGTGCTCCCACTGAGGACAGGGAAAGTTCTTGGGACAGCAGACACCAGCCATCAACAGGGACAAGGAGCACTGCCAGCCCTCATAGTGCCCTGAGCTTGCCTTCATGCAGTGGCCCACCCTCCAGAAGTATTTGCCCTCAGATGAAGATCAGGTGTAGCTCCTTGCTGAGTCCTTGTGGCCTCACCCTATCCCACACAGATGGGACAGAAGGACGAGGCTGGTAAAGCAAAGCTACCACAGGGATCACAGGTCCAACTGCTGAGGAAGAATCTAGAGAGAAGAGAGGTGCTGGTGGCTTCCAGCTTCAACAGACAGCAGGAGTAGCAAGCACCAGATCAGAGCTCATGCCAGCAGGCTGCACTAAGCAGGGCACAAGTTCAGAATGCACATTTCCCATGCAGAGAAAGCACCCTGGCTGTCAGGAAGGAGCTAACAAAGGAACCTTGGTGCTTATCAGCCAAACCTTGCTGTGGTGAGAAGCAAGAAGCAGCACTGTGAGCGCACTTCGTCTGCAGCTCCTCCTAGACTGCAGAGATAAGGAGCTTGAGCATCTCTGTAAGTGCTGTGGTGGGGGAAGCTGGGCTGGTTAGAGCTCAGAATTACCCTGCAATAGAAGTCCCTCTTCATTTTATACCAGTGTCCTGGTGGAACATGCAACAGGACTACCAGTAAAGCCCTTAATCAACATAAAAATCCTACAAAGCTTGCACAAACCTTTGCAAGTGTGTGAACACCAGCTTGTGAAATAAACAGGGAAGAGCTTTCCTTCCCAAACGAAATTGTTTAGCCTTCACAAAAGCTAAAAATGCAGACATTAGTTCTATTGAGGAAGAGATGAAGACCATGTGTGGAGGGTGCTGCTGGGCTGTACTGGGAGGAGTGCTGAGGAGGAAAGGCAGGCTCTGAATACACACTCAGTTTGCAAAGTAAGCTCTCTGTATTCATCCGAGAATGTCTGCAGTATGGAGTTCATCTGGTATAAATAAAGTACAAAATTTTACAATGTCTTAATCATTATTTTAACAAAAATACTAAAAACTGAGTAAAAACTGAAACCAAAGTGGGAAGGGAGACTATCAGCCACAAGGGATCTCCATAAACATTTGTAGAAATTGGATAGTAAAAACACTTTCTCTGTACAATAAAATGCTCCTCCTGGCATCTCCCTGTGGGACAGACAGCAGCAGCACTGGGGGACACAAGGACACAGGGTGGGGGCTGCCCCAGAGAGTGGGCCAGGCTGAAGAGGCTGTATCCATCCACAGTGATGTCTCCCTCCTGCATCAGGCTGAAGTGCCACAGGTCAGTAGCGTCCAAATGGGTTGTTGTTCTGCTGTGTCTGTGTATCTGTTGAGGTCAAGACAGAGTTAAACAGTCACAAGGTCTAGTTCAGAAAAGAGATTCCCCTCCCCACATCACCAGGGCAGTATGAGGAGTGTCACAGGCCATGAGAAGGAAAATATAACCAGTATAAAATATAACCAGTGTGGTACTCCCTGTGCTGCAGAGCTGCTTGAGCCTTTGAGCAGCAGCACAGCCAGGATCCCACATTCTTTCAGGAAGAGAGAGATATATTCTAGTCCTGATCCTGAAGTTTCCAGGGAAAATCTCTCCATCCCTCATGGTGGAATTGGAGGACCATAACAATGCCCTGAAAGGTGGCAAGCAGCTG